AAATCCATCTTTTTCGCATAGTTGAAAGAACAGGATCAGAAGATAGAAGTAAACTATTAAAAATATCTTCTGGAGCATTTTCTTGAGCTGAATAGTTGAACATGCTTAAAATCTCGATTCCTCGCTTCCTGGGCTTCTTCTGTTAACTCTCCAAGTGGAAGAATATTCGATTCAATTATTATTTGACCATGACACAATACTTTGTGTACTGTTGGTGTTAGTTCCCTCCATGGATACAGAGATACAAGTAATTTAGAAATTTCAGATGTGTATTCCCCAAATCGATTTTCATTAATTTTATGTTTACTATTCAGTGCCATTAAAATAGTTTTAACTCTTCGAAGCAACTCCTTGTCGATTCCAATTATTTTTGAAGTAATTTCAAAATCACGAAAAAACCTTCTCGACGTATTACCGTCATTTGTACTACCGCAACTTGAAAGTGGTTTGTCGATGTTTAATCCCATCTGAACTTTAAATTCTTCTTGGATTCTGCTTTTTTCCGCAGCTCTCATTTCATTCAATTCTTCATTATTTTTTGTTGATTTAGTAGGATAGTTTGTTTTTTTTTTTTCCTGGATCGCCTTGTATGATGGTAATATATTGTGTCCTTTTTCATGCAGAGCTTTCCTTAATATTTGGTACTTATTCGACTGAGACCCAGTTCCAACATAAGCGCTATTGCTTCCTCTTCAGTAAAATTTGATTATGTTGTTGGAGTTGGTATACTTTCCACAATTCGCTTAAGTCGTTTTGGTGATGCATTAGGAAGAATAGTTGCAATATGTACGACATCCATATGTTGGTTTTCCTTTTTCAGCATTTCGTTAAATGTATCAGCAATTTCCTCATTTGAGATTGAAAAAAGTTTTTGTGTGACCCTCTTTTTTTTACCTTGAACATAAGTCTTCGTATGACTTGCAAGGCGCTCCTATTGATGTGTTGTAAGTTGAGATTTCCGTAGTAGTTTCCATCCAACTACAAAATTTTAATCGAAATTTCTTTTGATTTCCATCCACAGACTTACTTTTTACATCAAAAAGTTTTCAATTTTTGATATGCCTGTTTTGTCTACTTTTCTACTATATGTAGTTTTTATATAATTTTAAATGTCTTCAATTCTTTCTGGCTCTTTTGAAGATATACTCCATAAAACGGAACACAACTCTTCGTACTTTAATGTAATCTTCATTGTAGATTTATTAAATATGGTACTTAAAATCTGAGAAGTTTACTTATATACCAATTCTTGTCATTTCCGATACAGGTATTCCAAAGTAAAAAATTACGAATTGTCTACCTATTAACATTTAGGACTATATTACTATAACCTGTAATTCAGTCATTGATATTTCTTATTAGTGAATGAATCGAAATTATCATTACCTGTATATTTTTACCTACATGATCATAAACGAAACAGAACGAAATGATCTGTCGAAAAAATTTAGGTAAAAAATAGTTATAAATTTTTGAAAATTTAAGCATAATAGGACCTTTCAATTATAAGGATAACCAAACAAATAGAAAATAGGTAAATATAAGATTTAAATATGTGCTGTCATACTTAATACTAAAATATGAAAAAGATGAAATTAAAGGACACAGGTTTAAATGAACATATTTTTGAATGTAATTGAGATATTGGCTTGAAATTTTTTGTAAAGGGTCGAGAATTTCCATATCTAACTAAAAAATGATATTAAGGGATAAATATGGACTAAATTGTTGTAGCTATCTGCGATCCTATTAAAATTTTGATATAAATCATAGTTTTAGAAATTAAACAAATATGTAATATATGACAAAATCTTTATTTATGAACAAAACTCAATGAAATTTTCAACGCTTGTTAAATTTGTCATTTCGAATAAGAATATGCAAAAAAAATTGAAAAGGTCAAAGGGCATCCCGCAATTCCCAAAAATAGGAATGAAAATCCCAAAAATGGGATTTTTTACTTTTTTGCCCATAGGGTCCACATTTCTTTCAGGGCTGGGAAAATACTTTTGGAGTAAATAGAAAACATATTGAGGTTTCCAAAACTGCTTTTAGTTTTCTGATCCCAGCTTTGGGATTTTAGAACATGTCGCCCAAAGTTGAAGTTTTGATAAAAAATAGGTCATATTCGGAAGGACGCAGTGGCAACATTTTCAAAAAATAGGACAAGTATTTTACGCTAAAGCGTTCTGCGTAAAGATACCTTTTAGAAAACTATAAAATTGTTATATGTTCTTAATAAAAATTTTATTTTATTAATAAAAGAGTTAAGACACATTTTTGGCAAAAAAACGCCAAAAATCTAAAATTTTTTGAATTTTTAAATTAAAAAACGTATATTTTTGGAAATTTTGTTGTCTAACTAACAAGAAAAAATTGAGTCCATTTGGTCCAAAATTACGCCCGGTATTCAAAAAAAGGCGGACCAAGGTATGGTAAATTTTGTATCACTAAATTTTTAAATGCCTATAACTCGGATATTATAAGAGGTAAGTAGTATGTCCAAGCATGTTTTTTCAAGATCTCGTCGAGCGCTTTCACAAAATATAAAAATCTTTGTATTTGGGTGAAAAACAAAAAAATGGCACGAGTTTAAAAATTTTACATGTCGTAGGTACCCTACTTTGAGCCGCCACAGCGCCGTCCCTGGGGCATCTGCAGGGTTCATCTTCAAAACTTAAACTCGAATACTCCTTGGCTACGCTCACGCCAAATTTTATCCCGATCGGATCAGCCGTTTAGAAATGCCAGATTTATTTCCAAAAAATTTCCATTCTGCCCCACTGTGCGTTGCTAGATATTTCACCCATTGAAACATGTTTAAGATATGAGGCGGCGCTTACAGTCGAACGACTCTTTACTTTAGGCGAACTGGCCAAAAACGATTATAGGACACGTCATCAATGTATACTGGACACATTGGAAGGTTATACACAATAATCGGACTGCCTGATCGCATACCAGATACAGAATATGTCGGAAACTTTGAAACGCTAATCACAGATAGAATGTCTTGATCAAGCGGAACATTAGAGCAAATACTAGTAGGGACAAAGTGGGCCTGGGGTTCTATATGGAAGACCCAGAAACAGAAATATACCACCGTTTACCTAATCATAATAACGGCTTCCAGGCAGAAGTACGAGCAATAATGGAATATGTAAATTGGACTAGAATAAATATGTCGCCCACAGCCCTTAATATATTTACCGACAGCCAGAAGGCAATTAGGGCGATATCAGGTGATAGAATTAAATCTAAGACCTTTTGGATTTTAAGAAAGCTTTAACTGAATATTCTCCCAGAGGTAAGGTCTACATTATATGGGTACCAGGTCATTCGGGATTAGTCGGCAACGAACGGGCGAATATAATAGCTTTTAAGCGAAGGAAGCTCGAAGTAGTTAACCTGACGAAAGCAAAACCTTTCGACGGAACAAAAGCTGAATTAAAAATATGGTTGAGAGAAACCCATAAGTCCTCTTGGAATGATGAAACGGTGGGTAGAACCACAAAGATCCTATGGGGCGACCGTGATGAGAGCTAGACGAGAAAACTCCTCAAAATGAGCAAGTCTGAGGTTGGTATGTTGGTACGTATTCTGAGTGGACAAACAGGATTACGAGCACATCTATACAAAATTGGACGTACGGATTCAGACGAACATAGAGCATGTGGAGAGGACTTAACCATTTAGTGAAACTCTGGAAAATTTTCTTTGCCACTGTCAGGCATTCGTAGAAGTTAGATCCAAGTATCTTGGAAGTGATGTTATTCAGGAAATAACATTTCTGACTAACACTGTTCGAAAAATTCTTAGGAATTTTGTCCAGGAAACTGAGTTTCTGAACATTGAAAAGTAATACGTTCAGTAAACATTTTTTTTTTTTCATGAAAAGGAGTGAACAGCAGACCCGATAGTAGCCTAGGTGTATTTCTTCGGATTTGATGTTGTATACATTCTAGATCTAAAAATTTACCAGATATACGAATTTTTGTATTTAATTAATTTTCCCGAAAATGTTCAAAAGGATGAAATGGATAATATGGGTGATACCACTCCCCCCATTGTTACCCAAATTCTTACATGGATGCAAAATTTGAGGATTTTAGCTCTAATATTTTCTCAGATATACGAATTTTTGTATTTAATTCCTATGGAAGATTCCTCAGATGTTCGTGCAAACGAATTTCCGCCCAACGATAGACCGCCCATTTTTGTCTTAAATAATCATTTTGACGTTAAATTGGTTCCGACCAAAATTTTTCTTTATATGGGAGGTTCCACGCCTACTATAATAAATCGATCCGTAAAAATTCAAAGTAAACTAAAAGTTATTTGGATTTAAAAACATTATAAATTCATCCTCGTATTTTGTCTTTAGGTCTTATTCAAATGCAGAAAATACATATTTGTCAAAAATTGCAAAAATCTTACTTACTCAATGATAACATTAATATTTCTTTAGAAAACCACAAACATTTTTGAATGTTATTTAAATTTATTACAATTTTTCGTACATAATCTAATGCAATTAGTACTCATTGACTTTGCAATACTCTATAGTTTGTATTTCAAAATCGAAATTTTATAAATCTTTAAGTCTTGTTATTTTTCAGACTGTCATTAGTTTACGATATGATATGAGGGATACTATTATTGCACACGAAGATGTCCCCTAATATCGTCTTTAAAACGAGAATTGAAGAATAGGTAAAATCCCAAAACATAATCTGCTTAATAAAAGGGTGTTATTTTACTAATAATTATACCAATCAGGTTTGTTCGACAGGCGACCTACTGATGGACAAAATCGTCCAATTTCGGGAGCGAAATATTTAATGACATTTTGTTACTAATTTAATAATATTTTAAACAAACTTTTAACTCTCTTATAACGAAAAACCACAGCACAAAATACGATAACGATTTAGTATTTTTTTAACTTATTCCCAATTATATATTTATATATAAACGCTAAAGATGGACTCGATGAAATTAATTGTATAAAATTAATACAAGAGAAAACAACTAAAATGCATTTTGTCGCTTTTTATTTAGTGACCATAAATTTGTTGATTTTGAAAATTAATCAAATTTATGCCTTAGGCCAGTTTTATAAATCGGAGACAAATAAAACCTATTACATGGATTTTGATCAAAAGGTAATAAAAAATTTAATATATACATATCAATTAATCGATAATATTTCCAACAATAAATTTATTTTTCTCAAGTTTACCTGGTTTGATGGACATATATCTTGCACCAAATTGAATATGACTTTATTGGAAGTGAATACCGAAAATAAATCTCTGGAGATCACCAAGCTAATCAAAAATGTTCCGAACAAAGGTTCTGGTGGCTATCTTTGGACTGGCGGCATTCGAACTCAAATTGAGAATGATGTCTTTGTTTGGCTCTCAACGGGTGAAAAATTTAGTTACACAAATTGGTATCCCAATAATCCCGATTTTACGGGTGATGATGAGTATTGTGTTGAATTGGTAGAGATACGAAATTGGCAATGGAATGATTTATACTGTAAACGAAAACGTGGTTTTGCATGTGAATATAAAGCAGCGACCGACGATATCCAGCAAGAATTGCAAAATTTAAAGGAGACACTTAAGCAAAAGGACTCAACACAGGAAAAACAACCGATATTGATGGATCTATTAAAACAAATTAAAGAAAACGACCCTCAAAAACTTTTGAAGATTTCACAATTACAAAATAAATTTAAAGAAATTTTGAAAAAAGGTGAAGAAGATAATTTGAAAATGTATAAGGAAAATGGAAATTTTGAAAAAACTGGTAAAAATAACATCAATGTTTATTCGCCATACGCTATGTTTTTTAATAGTTTTTAATCAATGTAAACAGTACTAAAATATCATGTACATATATTGTACAAGTTTTTAATAAAATATAATTTTATGAATATGTTGTATTTAAAAAAAAAGCATAATTTTTATTAATGGTTATATTTTTCAGTAAATTTAAAGTTGATACTAATTGTTATACCAAATTTGACAATAAAATTATTTTACAAAAAGTGGGAGTAAAAAGTTGTAAAAGTCGTTTAATCATGATCTGATGCAGGCCATAGTTTTCTCTGTGTATGTTAAACGGTTCTCATGTAGGAATAGCTCTCTCTCAATCAATGAGTATTAATGTACTAAACTCAAGAAAAATAAAAAAATTCTAAAGGAGCCTCAATTCCCAACCACCGATTGAAAATCCTGATCTCTGTACAATATGTTAAATCTTAATAGAGACTAGTCTGTAGTCTATGGTCTAGTCTATAGTCTAGTTTATAGTCTAGTCTATAGTCTAGTTTATAGTCTAGTCTATAGTCTAGTTATAGTCTAGTCTATAGTCTAGTCTATAGTCTAGTCTATAGTCTAGTCTATAGTCTAGTCTATAGTCTAGTCTATAGTCTAGTCTATAGTCTAGTCTATAGTCTAGTCTATAGTCTAGTCTATAGTCTAGTCTATAGTCTAGTCTATAGTCTAGTCTATAGTCTAGTCTATAGTCTAGTCTATAGTCTAGTCTATAGTCTAGTCTATAGTCTAGTCTATAGTCTAGTCTATAGTCTAGTCTATAGTCTAGTCTATAGTCTAGTCTATAGTCTATAGTCTAGTCTATAGTCTAGTCTATAGTCTAGTCTATAGTCTAGTCTATAGTCTAGTCTATAGTCTAGTCTATAGTCTAGTCTATAGTCTAGTCTATAGTCTAGTCTATAGTCTAGTCTATAGTCTAGTCTATAGTCTAGTCTATAGTCTAGTCTATAGTCTAGTCTATAGTCTAGTCTATAGTCTAGTCTATAGTCTAGTCTATAGTCTAGTCTATAGTCTAGTCTATAGTCTAGTCTATAGTCTAGTCTATAGTCTAGTCTATAGTCTAGTCTATAGTCTAGTCTATAGTCTAGTCTATAGTCTAGTCTATAGTCTAGTCTATAGTCTAGTCTATAGTCTAGTCTGTAGTCTAGTCTATAGTCTAGTCTATAGTCTAGTCTATAGTCTAGTCTATAGTCTAGTCTATAGTCTAGTCTATAGTCAAGTCTATAGTCTAGTCTATAGTCAAGTCTATATAGACTATAGTCTATCTATATCTATAGACTATAGTCTAGTCTATAGTCTAGTCTATAGTCTAGTCTATAGTCTAGTCTATAGTCTAGTCTATAGTCTAGTCTATAGTCTAGTCTATAGTCTAGTCTATAGTCTAGTCTATAGTCTAGTCTATAGTCTAGTCTATAGTCTAGTCTATAGTCTGGTCTATAGTCTAGTCTAGTCTAGTCTATAGTCTAGTCTATAGTCTAGTCTATAGTCTAGTCTAGTCTAGTCTATAGTCTAGTCTATAGTCTAGTCTATAGTCTAGTCTATAGTCTAGTCTATAGTCTAGTCTATAGTCTAGTCTATAGTCTAGTCTATAGTCTAGTCTATAGTCTAGTCTATAGTCTAGTCTATAGTCTAGTCTACAGTCTAGTCTAGAGTCTAGTAGATAGTCTAGCCTATAGTCAAGTCTAGAGTCTAGTCTATAGTTTATAATATAGTCAAGTCTATAATCTATTCTATAGTCTAGTCTACAGACAAGCCTACAGTCTAGTCTATAGTCAAGTCTATAGTCTAGCCTATAGTCTAATCTATAGTCAAACCTATAGTTTAGTCCAGCGGTTCCCACCGATTTTTACTTCGCGGACCCCTTGAAGAACTTATTTAATTTCGCGGACCCCATACATATTTTGATATCTTATTGTTCTAAATAATTGTCCATCCGAAAATTGACCTAGTTCATTAATTCCTAGGTCTAATAAATGTAGAGATGTCATATCTATAAAATATTCCCGTACATTGAGAATATATAATATTTCAGATAGGTTTTCAATTGCATGTTTTGAAGATAGAATGACTTCTTTGTTGATATGTTAACATGATGTTTAATTTTATGATTGTGAGATCTTTCATGTTCATTTTTCTTCAAGGTAGCGAAAAGGTTTCTTTATCAAATATTGTCACATGTGCTTAAGGAGTCACGTTTCAAAAATTTGTTGCGATTGCAAATGGTGAATTGAGTAAGTGAGCTAAGTTTTCGGGAAAATAATATAAGAAAGTTGGACTTCTTCTATGTTGTTGCGGAATGAGTTATTCGCATAATATATGATTTGAACTCTTTGTTAAAGTACTGTGAATTTGGAACTTAAATTTGAATTTTAAAATACCAACGAATTATTTTACTTCATGGTTTTTGGCTACATATTTACGCGAAACGCTATGGATTTTCTGATGTTAATTTAATAATATGTATTGGTCGACAAAATCAAGTTAAAATCTGTGTATCACGTCGGATTGGAATATTTATAAAGAGATGCATAAAGAGTCACCTCTGTTTTGGAAATATATAATTTTAGTCCTTTGAAACAAGAACACTTTTGCTTACAATTTGATAAACTTAAATCTTTAAAAAGCTTGTCTTTGAATTGAACTTCATACTCCGGAATACCAGTATACCTAATTTAATTGTAAGGCAGAGTATTATTTGTCTGAAATAAAAACCATTATTTCAGTACATATACAGGAAATAAAAATTACAAATCACGCAATACTTTACTTTATAAAAGTTATACAATAAATTTGTAGGGCCTAGCCTCTTCCTGATAAACAACCGAAAAAATAAAATTCAAAAAGTCACCAAAAAATTTGGGATTATTGCACAAAAATTGTAGATATTTGTACATACATATCAAAGCAGAATATTGTTTATTCATGTTTTTTTTCGTTCGTCTTCGCGGACTCCCTAGGATTTTACTACGGATCACTAGGGAACCGTTGGTTTAGTCTATAGTATAGTCCATAGTGTACTCTATATTCCAGTCTATCGCCAGTCTATTCTATAGTCTAGTCTATAGTCAAGTCTAATCTCTAGTTCAGTCTTTAGTCTAGTCTGTACTCTAGTATCTAGTCTATTCTACAGTCTAGTCTATATTCAAGTCTATAGTCTGGTCTAGTTTAGTCAATAGTATAGCTTATAGTCTACTTTTCTACAATCTAGTCTATGGTCAAATCTACAATGTAGTCTATAGTTAAATCTATAGTCTAGTCTATATTCGAGTTTAGGTTATGGTCCAGTCTATACGTAAATTAGTTTAGTACTTTAAAACCTAAAGAAGTGCTATTTTTTGTTATGTTATTTATAAATTAAATTTTTCCATTCCTGGTTCAACATATTTTAATTTTAATTCCTCTCTCTCCCTCTCTTTTTTGCGATAATTTTTCAGATTTAAACAAAATTTAAATAAACAGCATTAATTGTTTATATTCAGCACAAGACGAAACAACTAAAATGTATTTTGGATTAGTTTTTATAGTGACTACGAATTTATTAATTTTTAAAATTAACCAAATCAATGCCGTGGGGCATCTTTATACCTCAAATAATAATAAAACATATTATATAGATTTTGATCAAAAAGTACTAAAATATTGTACGAAATAGACCAGATAAATTTTCTAATTATATATGTATTACTATATTCCAGTTCACTTGGTTTGATGGACAATTAACCTGCTCTACAATGAACATGACTTTAGTGGAGATATATACGAAAGAAAAATTTCTAGAATTAAATTTGTTGCTTAAAAATGCTCAAGAACAGAATACTATTGAGGAGGCTTTTCTATGGATTGGTGGTATTCTGACACAAGTTCCACAACAAAACTTTGTTTGGCTTTCAACCGGTGAACAATTTACATACAGCAATTGGTTTGGCGACAATCCAGATTTCTTTGAAAATTGTGAATATTGTGTTGAAATGGCAAAGTCGGAAAATTGGAAATGGAATGATGATAAGTGTTCAGCAGAAAATGGCTTTATTTGTGAGTATAAAAAGGAAAGAGAAGAATTAAATGCTATTAAACACACTTTAACACAAGAAACTCACACTCATCTGCAAGTGCAGAAGATTCTGCAAAACGAAATAGACAGACGACAAGATTTACATTATGAATGCGAACAAAAATTGCAAGAATACGAAGACCAAATGTGTAAATCTCAAGAAAGAGAAGAAAATTTAACAGACGATATTAAGAGCTTACAGCAAGATCTAAAAAAACAACATGATCTACACCAAGAGCAATTACAACAACTTAAAAAGCTCGAATTAGAAGCCCTTGAAAAGCTTCAAGGAAATATACAAACGGAATTAAAAAAGAATGAAGCTTTGCAAAAGGAATTACAAAATGTAAAACAGTTGCTGCAGCAAAAACAAGCAAATATTGACGCTAAAGAAGTAGAATTAAAAAGCCAACAGAATTTACAACATCAACATCTGCATCAATTAGAAAATCTAAAAGAAGAAAATCTAAAACTTGAAAAACATTTACAAATCGAAATATATAAGCAGAATGATCTTAAAGAAGAAATGGTAAAACTTGAAAATTATCTTGAAAAGGAAATATCAAAGCATAATGAATTAAGACAAGAAATCCAACATTTGCAAAAATTCAAAGAACAAAAGCTAAAACTTGAAAAGGATCTGGAAATGGAAATATCAAAGCAGAATGATCTTAAACAAGAAATGCAAAATTACCAAGATCTCAAAGAGGAAAAGCAAAAACTTGAAAAAACTCTAGGAAGGCAAATAACAAAGCGGAACGAGATGAAACAGGTAGTGCTACAACTGAATGATCAATTAAAACAACTAAAAGAGCTAATAAAAGAAAAAAGTGAAGGATCGGAAGAGAGGCGACAAGATGAGGAGGACACAAAAAAAACCAAAAACATTATTGTAATGTCAAAACTGGAGAATGACATTAAAGAGCTAAATGGCGAGAATAATTTAAAAGAAATAAAGATTACAAGTATTCGTAGAACTGATGAAAATAGCCAAGGTCAAAATAATATTGTTATAAATTATTCTCCTTATATTGTGTTTTTTAATAATTCTTTATTAGGTAATACTGCAATTTAGATTTAAAATTATTGTAAAATTTATTCAAAATAAACATAGATACATACATACACAGGGGCCAATCCCCTCATTCAAAGTCCGCCCATTTTTCTCTAAATGTTCACATGAATGTTCATGTAAAATTTCAAGATTCTAGCTTCTACAGTATCTCAGATATACAAATTTTTCTATATAATTCATATGGGGTTTCCAAGCCACCCCATGATGAAAGTCCACTTTTTTTTCCCCAAAAGTTTCAGATGAATATGAAAGTCCTTTTTGCAAAATTTAAGGAATCTAGTTCTATTAGTTTCTTAGATAAAATATTTTTTTGTATTTAATTCATATGGGAGGTACCGCTCCCCCCATTGGTAGTCCGCCAATTTATTACCCAAAATATTTACATGGATACTAAAGTTCTTCGTGCAAAATTTGAAGCTTTTAACTCTAATAGTTTCCAAGATAAATGAATTTGTGTATTTAATTAATATGGGAGGTGCCACGCCCCCTGCTGCTAGTTCGGCCACTTTTTATCCTAACTAATTATATTGAGACTTATGTGGCTCCGACCAAATTTGCGGGCTCTAACTGTTACATTTTCCGAGATATACTGATTCAATATTTTCTCAATATGGAAGGTGCCACGCCCACTATAGTCATTCCGCCCATTTTGTCCAAAAATATTCTTATGGATGGCAAGGTTGTCCGTGCAAAATTGGAGGACTCTAATTGGTACAATTAGTTTCCAAGATATATGACTTTTAATATTTATTTAATAAGTAGGCGTGGCACCTCGCCTACTTGAAATTTTAAAATAAAAAGTAGCCTATAGTTCCTTCCAGATATAAAGGAAGGTACGGTTAAAATTTCAAGAAAATCGGTCCAGCCGTTTAGCCGACTTCAAACAAACAAACCCACAAACAAATAAACACACATTTTTATATATATAGATATGGACAACGTTCCAACATTGATCCGAACAGTCTTTCCGTTGGGGTTCTCTCTTATATTTGTGGCAATATCACCGAACTTATGTCGATATATTGATTTGACCGTGCATCAATATTTAAACCTCTCTTCCCGCGACCAACAACAGCCAACACGTGCTCCCCGATGGGACCTTTCCAATAACCAGTACAAGACAAAGTCCAACAGCCTAATGCAAAAACGATTAAGTTAATAATGGTTATTAAAACCAATTTTAACCCTACACCACTATTGTGGGAACTGTATTATGCGTTTATGCGGATGTTTGTAACGTACTAAAATATTAGTACTATACCCACCATAAAGTGGTGACTAAGAATCACTTTCTGAGTCGATTTAACGATGTGCGTAAGTCTGTTCGAGTGTCCATGTAAACATTGTTATCCAAGAACAGATTTTCAAGATAATTTGATGAAATTTGGCATACACAAGGACGAAGCCTATTAAAAATGGTTTAAATCGGTCCATTTTTTCATCTAGCATCCATACAACTGAATCCCCGAAAATGACTTTTGAGCTCATAATTATGTATAATATAGTTGTATCTCGATAAAAGGTCGCACAGCTAAGTTTTATACAAGCTTTGATGACTTAGCCGAATTTCGAAATGTTCGGACCTCATTTAACCCTAGTCCCCATACAAAGTCCCCTTCAGAAAATGACTTTAATATCCGCAATTCACTTATTAACATTATTATTGCAATGAAATTTATTATATAAATATACATCTCTTCGGCTCATTTTACCGGGATCGGTCCATATTTGCTCCTATACCTCATATAAAGCCTCCTTCAGAAAATTAGTTTTTCCTCAATAACTTGCTTAAATAAATCGGAATCAAGGTTTAATATTACCTTGATTCCGATTTATTTCCTTTATAATGAAAAATTAAACACATTTAATATTCATATCTGGTCTGGGGTATTATATGGTCGGCCACGTCTGACTATACCTTCTTACTTGTTTTATATGGAAAAAGTGTATATGTAGTAGCCACCGTTTTTGCATAAGACAAACCATGGTACCAGATAGATTTTCCACCGATTGTAATAACTCTAAGATGTTGCGAAAAAGCTTTATTGAATTAGTAACATCTGAAAAGATTTTTTCTCGCATCTAACAATTCTGCTCAAATATAAACTCATGTATAAGAGCAATTTAATGTCTGAAAAAAACCCTTAAAATAAATTTATCATGAATTTGATGACGTATTAAATTATATGTAAAAATAATTTTTTTGAGCAAAATTTTTGCATAATGTTGTTATAAAAAAACAAAACACTGATAAAAGGACCATAATATTTAAAAACAAGTAGGAAAGTATAGTCGGGCATGGCCGACCATATAATACCCTACACCATGAGTATATTTTAAAAATTTCAATTTTTCACAAAGAAACTTTTATGTTGAATTTTACCTTAATTCCAAAGTATTTAAGCAATTTATTGATAAAAAACAAATTTTCTAAATGAGGCTTTATATAGGAGTATAGGTCAAACATGGGCCGATCCTCATTAAATTTGGGAAAAGGATATATTGTTAAATAATAGTTAATTATGTTGAGTTTCATTGCGATACAAATGGTTACAAGTCAATTTTAGACGTTTAAGACATTTTTTGATGGGGGGTTTGTATGGGGGCTAGGGTCAAATAAGGGTAACGAATTTTTTATTTAACTATGAAACATTTTATCTGTGACATGTTAGATGACGACCAAATGGCCATTTCATGCGACAATACATCAACAGGATGCTGATGATGACAACAGCAACAAACCACGTAAAAGCGTTGAAAATTGTTTATTGTAAAATAGTGAAATTTGTAATATGTTTTACAACAGATAGAAGTGATTTTATGAGTGCCACACGTTGTTGCTTGGCCTCTGTGTATGCAGACACTCTATAATATTTATGTATTTTGTTAAGATTAATGATGCAACATGTCAACTGTCAAAGAGGACAATAAAAAGAAACTCACATATACCACCAAAACAATACATGCAACACCAGTAAGGATTTGTGGCAAACAAAACAAAATAACCAAAGATAACTGACTGAATGGTCACATTTAAGTTTATTTGTTAAACTAAATATAAATTGTTGTTTGCTGTAAACAAATGTTTAAATAATCTGAACAACAATACTGAATATATATAAAAATTACAACATATTAAGCATGAAATTGTAAAAAATGTTAGATTTAAAAAAATTTAAATATGTATGAACATATTGACCACAATATGTGTAAATTGTCAATCATAATTTAAGAATTGCTTTTTTGTTGTATTGTAACCCTTTCAAATTGTTGCATTTGTTTCTTAAGCTTATTTCTTTACAAAAAAATCCTTTTTGTACCTTAAGGATACAATTGTGTCCTTTTTTTGTTGCTTATTTGAAAAATATATAAGGCATAAGAGGACTTAATCTTATTTGTACCCTTTTTATTGGACACTCAGCAACAAAGAGAATACTTTATAATACACTTTATTTTTCAAGTTTAAATTTGTTTCCATTTTATACATTTTCTTTTAAGATGAACTCACGTATTTTTAAAATTTTTTTTTTCTTAAAAAAACATGCATTGAATTATGATAAATTATGTCAAACTGTCAATCCGTTGACTTTTATAATGTTGCCCACAATACATACATAAGTAAATATTTATTATACGAATTAGGAATTGATGTTATTGAAGGCGAAAGCTTGACCAATATAGTGGGAAGGGTATTATGCGTTTGTGTTGATGTTTGTAACGCATTAAAATATTAGTATTATACCCACCTTAAAGTATACCGATCGACTCAGATTCACTTTCTGAGTCAATTTAACGATGTCCGTCCGACCGTCCGTTGTCCGTCCGACCGTCCATGTAAACGTAGTTATCAAAGTACAGGTCGCAATTATCAAGAAAATTTGATGAAATTTGGAATACACGTTTGTTTTGACCCAAGGACAAAGTCTATTGAAAATTATTAAAATCGGTGCGTTATTTAACCTAGCCCCCATACAACTGAACCCTCCGAAAAGGGATTTTGAGCTCATAATTACGTATAATATAAATGTATCTCGATGAAAGTTCGCACAACTAAGTTTTTAACAAGCCTTGATGACCCCGAAATGATCGGATTTCGTTTGACCCTAACCCCCATACAAAACTCCCTTCAGAAAGTGAGTTGAATATCCGCAATTCATTTATTAACACTGTTATTGCAATGACATTTAGCACAGACAAATATTATATAAATACAAATCTATCCAGCCAATTTTATCGGGATCGGTCCACATTTACTCCTATCCCCCATATAAAGCCTCTTTTAGAAAATTAGTTTTTCGTCAATAAATTGCCTCAATAAATCTGTATCAAGGTAATATTTATGATAAATGCTTTATTATGAAAAATTAAACACATTTAATATTCATAACTGGTGTAGGGTATCATATGGTCGGTCACGCCCGACTATACTTTCTTACTTGTTTAAATTTGGAAAACCCATTGTTCATATATTTCGACCCACAACATTTTAATGATTAAATCGATTTTGTCCTTTTTAAGAAGGATTTTCAATAATAGAAAATTCAAAAAGTACCAGTTAAACAACGATAAACTACCAAAAAGTTCCCTGTTATAGATTATCAGAGGTATGTTTCTAGGTTTAATTTTATAGAAGACTAGCCTTAAACAATGTGCTTTGCTACCCTAAAAACAATATAAATAAAATACCCATATTAAAATTTTAAAGATTATAGCTCTAGTAGTTTGCCAGATATACGATTATGTATTTGTATTTACATTATATGGGAGATGCCATGCCAATTTTTTCTAACATTAATTTGAATTCAAATATAACCTATGGAAAAATTTTAATAATCTAATAGTTTCATAGATATATGAAATTTTGAATTTAATTCAATTGGAGGTTCCACGCCCCCTTTTTGCTCTGCCGCCAAATGTTCACATGGATGTCAAAGTTTGTGCAAAATTTGACGATTTTAGCCCTAATAGTTTCTCAGATATACTAATTTCTGTATTTACTTTATATGGGAGGTTTCATTATTTCCTAATGAAAGTCCGCCCCATTTCCCCAAAAATGTTCAGATGGATGTTAAAGTTCTTCGTTGAAAATTTGAAAATTCTAGTTCTAATAGTTTTGCAGATAAACGAATTTTTGTACATAATTCAAATGGGAGGTATCACGCCCCCTATTGCTGTGTCCGCAAATATTCACATAGATGTTAAAATTGTTCGTGCAAAATTTGAGGATTTCAGCTGTAATAGTATTTCATATATACGAAGTTTTGTTTTTAACTCATATGGGAGATTCTAAATCCCGCTAATAAAAGTCGTGCAAAAATTTAAGATTTTAGCAATAATAGTTTTCAATTTCCAAAATAAATACATTTTTCTGTTTAATTCATATGGGAGGTGCCGATTTTAGCCCTAATAGTTTCTCAGATATACTAATTTCTGTATTTACTTTATATGGGAGGTTTCATTATTTCCTAATGAAAGTCCGCCCCATTTCCCCAAAAATGTTCAGATGGATGTTAAAGTTCTTCGTTGAAAATTTGAAAATTCTAGTTCTAATAGTTTTGCAGATAAACGAATTTTTGTACATAATTCAAATGGGAGGTATCACGCCCCCTATTGCTGTGTCCGCAAATATTCACATAGATGTTAAAATTGTTCGTGCAAAATTTGAGGATTTCAGCTGTAATAGTATTTCATATATACGAAGTTTTGTTTTTAACTCATATGGGAGATTCTAAATCCCGCTAATAAAAGTCGTGCAAAAATTTAAGATTTTAGCAATAATAGTTTTCAATTTCCAAAATAAATACATTTTTCTGTTTAATTCATATGGGAGGTGCCACGTCCCCTATTTCAAGTCCGCCCATTTTTTCCTTAAATACTTTTTTTTTTCTAAGATATACTAATTTAACATATTTTCCATATGGGAGCTGCCACGCCCACCATAACTATGCTATGTTTCTTTTTATCCCCAACGTATCATAGTATGATGATTCCTAACTGTATACGTGTGTCCCAAAAAGTAAAAAAAATTGGAAAGTTTGAAAAAAATATAATTTTTCAGGAATACACTTTTACAAGATTAAGATCTCACAAAAAAAACTCAGTGTTTACAGCTGTATATCACTAAAAAGCCCAAACGAATTTGGTACCAAGTAGGGCTTGGTATCTTAGTTTAAAAACGCACATAAAACGTGCATAAAAGTGTCCAATCTATATAATATTATGTTGGAGTGACCTTGCAGTTGAAAACTCATATTAATTTATAGTAAAAGTAAAAATACCAGCGGAAGTTATTTGTTTTTGTAAATCATGTTATGTTTCAGAAATATTAGTACTCAAGGTCTTCAAAATGAAAACATTTATTATAAAGAAAAAAACCAAATTTTAAGGGGTTGGGTACAGCTGTGTACATCTAATTAAGGGCACAAATAGAAAACAATCGTTAAAAATTAAAATAGGAATTTCTTTTAATTTTTTCAATGTAATCCGCACAATCTAATAAATGTAATTTTTAAAGTATAAAATCTTTATTTTTTTGAGAATTATTTTAAATATTTTGTGGTGTTTAGCTGCTTGCTTGCCCATAATTGTTTGCTCACAACTATATATTATGATTAAAAATATATTTTAAGCAATTTTAAATGTTCATTGACCTACAATTTTTTGCGTTAAAACTGCTACGCGTGTGGATAACATACAAATTTTTACTACGAATTAATTCTTTTGCAATATCCGGTAATTGAATATATGTATTTGTAATTGTTTATAAATGCAACCGCCGTATACTTGCCCCTTGATTTACGTAGAATTTTAGGACAAATTCGTGCTAATTGTTAAACCACTATAGTAGGGTAACATGTTTCTTTGCTGATGTTTTCTACACCCAACAATCCGGCCAGGCCCATCAACATACTATAGGGTGTCCCCAACGTGAGGAAGATGAGTAACTTGTTTAGAATGAATAAGGTGATGGTATGTATTTAAAATACGGAATTGAACGAGAGGTACTACGGAACCACCTTCAGGAAAACCTTGCATGTAAACCTTATAATTCATTAAACTTTAGTTAGTTAGTAAGTAAGTAAGTTAGTTAGTTAGTTAGTTAGTTAGTTAGTTAGTTAGTTAGTTAGTTAGTTAGTTAGTTAGTTAGTTAGTTAGTTAGTTAGTTAGTAGTTAGTTAGTTAGTTAGTTAGTTAGTTAGTTAGTTAGTTAGTAGTTAGTTAGTTTCGTTAGTGTTAGTTAGTTAGTTCGTTAGTTAGTTAGTTCGTTCGTTTTCGTTCAGTTAGTTCGTTTTTCGTTCGTTCGTTTTCGTTCGTTCGTTCGTTCGTTCGTTCGTTTCGTTCGTTCGTTCGTTCGTTCGTTCGTTCGTTCGTTTCGTTTTTCGTTCGTTCGTTCGTTCGTTCGTTCGTTTCGTTCGTTCGTTCGTTCGTTCGTTTTTCGTGTTCGTTCGTTCGTTCGTTCGTTCGTTCGTTCGTTCGTTCGTTCGTTCGTTCGTTCGTTCGTTCGTTCGTTCGTTCGTTCGTTCGTTCGTTCGTTCGTTCGTTCGTTCGTTTCGTTCGTTCGTTCGTTCGTTCGTTCGTTCGTTCGTTCGTTCGTTTTCGTTCGTTCGTTCGTTCGCTCGTTCGTTCGTCGTTCGCTCGTTCGGTCGTTCGCTCGTTTTCGTTCGTTCGTTCGTTCTTCGTTTGTTCGTTCGTTCGTTTTCGTTCGTTCGTTCGTTCGTTCGTTCGTTCGTTCGTTTTCGTTCGTTCGTTCGTTCGTTCTTCGTTCGTTCGTTCGTTCGTTCGTTCGTTCGTTCGTTCGTTCGTTCGTTCGTTTCGTTCGTTCGTTCGTTCGTTCTTTCGTTCGTTCGTTCGTTCGTTCGTTCGTTCTTCGTTTTTCGTTCGTTCGTTCGTTCGTTTCGTTCGTTTCGTTCGTCGTTCGTTCGTTCGTTCGTTCGTTCGTTCGTTCGTTCGTTCGTTCGTTCGTTCGTTCGTTCGTTTTCGTTCGTTCGTTCGTTCGTTCGTTCGTTCGTTCGTTCGTTTTCGTTCGTTCGTTCGTTCTTTCGTTCGTTCGTTCGTTCGTTCGTTCGTTTCGTTCGTTTCGTTCGTTCGTTTTCGTCGTTCGTTCGTTCGTTCGTTCGTTCGTTCGTTCGTTCGTTCGTTCGTTCGTTCGTTCGTTCGTTCGTTCGTTTCGTTCGTTCGTTCGTTTTCGTTCGTTCGTTTTCGTTTTTCGTTCTTTCGTTCGTTCGTTCGTTCGTTCGTTCGTTCGTTTCGTTCGTTCGTTTCGTTCGTTCGTTCGTTCGTTCGTTCGTTCGTTCGTTCGTTCGTTCGTTCGTTCGTTCGTTCGTTCGTTCGTTCGTTCGTTCGTTCGTTCGTTTCGTTGTTCGTTCGTTCGTTCGTTCGTTTCGTTCGTTCGTTAGTTCGTTCGTTCGTTCGTTTCGTTCGTTCGTTCTTTCTTCGTCTGTTCGTTCGTTCGTTCGTTCGTTCGTTCGTTCGTTTTCGTTGTTCGTTAGTTAGTTAGTTAGTTAGTTAGTTAGTTAGTTAGTTTTCCTGGGTATGGACTCGTTAAAACTTTCCGTTATTCATTACGGTTTGTCAACACTTAATTAAAATCATATATTCACATTTCATTGGTTATCAACAATTTACCACAAGAAATTACATTTGTATTAGAAATTCCATTAGCTCGTATAAAACCAACAAATATTAATAAAAATTTAATTATTTCATAATAAAGTGCAAAAGAAGCAACAACTACAATGGATTTAAAAATCTTTTATGCAGTAATTATAATTCTAATGATTTTGAAAATCAAACCAATGAAATCCTATGGGCAGAAATTTACCACGAATCAAAATAATGTTTATTATATTGATTCAGAGCAGAAGGTGAGCATTACATAAATAAATATAACAATAACATAAAATGAATTAAAAACCTATCAATCACATTATTAGTACTCTTGGTTTGAAGCCTTAATTGCTTGCATTGAAATGGACATGACGTTGGTGACAATTGACTCTAGTACGAAATCAAATGAAATTAATACTCTGGTCAGAAATAATTTTGGAAATGTTCGTCTTTGGATTGGTGGCATCATGTCAAGATATCCTAATCGACACTTTATTTGGCTAGCTACCGGTAAACCTTTCTCATATACCAATTGGCAGGGTAATAATCCGGACTTTTATGGCAATAATGAGTATTGTGCTCACATTGGGTGGGGCAATAATTTGCAATGGAATGATATTGCCTGCACTAATCATCAGGGTTTTATATGTGAATACAATCAAGAAGAACATCAAAATAAGGAAATACAAAAGGAATTGCAAAATGCTAAGATAAAACTACAACAGCAATTAGTGCAGAAAGTGCAAAACCTACAAGAATTGCAGACACAAGTGCAGGAAAAACAAATGCAACAAGAAAAATTGCAACAAGAATTGACCAGTGTTCAAGAAGTATCGAAACAGGAAAATCATAGAAATCTGGAAATACAGCAAAACCTAAAACAAAAAATTGTAGAATGTGAAGAGAAATTAAAACAAAGTGCTATAAAATATGAAAAACTTGAAGAAAACTTAAATGATACAACAGCAGAGTATCAAGAATTACAGCAAGAGTTACAAATACAACAAAACTTGAAGGATTTACTACAAGAGGAGTTGCAGAAACTCAACGAAAAAGATCAAGAAGTGTTTTCTAATGATAAGGATAATAAATATCGTGATATTATTTTGAATTTTCATCAATGTCAATAAAGTGTATGCATTTGAAAAAGAGTATTTTTCGAAAATTTAATATTTAAATTTCTTTGATTTGAATTTGAAATGTGTATTTGTAATACATATTATGTAAATATACCCGGTCCGCGTTAACGTTCTTAAGTTAGTCCTATATTTCTCTCCGCACAATGATTGCATTTCGATACAAGTTGGACGCTTTACTTATTTGTTACATTTATTCTCCGTTATATTTCGAAATAGTGTGATTTTCGAAATAGTGTCATTAATGTGGTCATGGATCAGTTACGAACCGTGCTCTACTGAATTTGACAAGATGATTAATGTCTTAGATTTAATTATATTTGATTTCTGAAACCTAATAATTTTACAACATTTTAAGATGTATCGAAGAAGAAAACAGATATAACAAATGTTATATATAAAATCGACAGATCAGACTTTCGTTGACATAACAGGGTTTATTCAAAATTTACGAAACGATATCTCAAAAATTCTGAGTCCAGATTCGGATTCAGAGCTGCGCAATCCTTTAGAAGAGTATAATAATGTTCTCTGGGTTAAAAACTTGTTGGCTAGTGTTATGGACCGATACTCATAGAAATCAGTCGTTTCCATTATATTCATTCCAGAAATACTTAATTATATATCCTACACCTCTATAGTGGCTCCCCCGGGGGCATGTTACGTTGGTGAAATCTCCATCTTGGTGTTATTGCAATATCCCGGGGAAATAGGTGCTACCAATGCCTCTAGTCTGCCGGGACTATAAACTAATGATGATCAAATGAATCCTCGGCATTTCCTTGGAATGATTTGACACGGGGTCTAACCAGAGTAACATATAATCTGGCTCTACGGGTGGCCAGTTGCCCGCAGGACTTGTCATGGCTGGTCAGTTTGTTGAGGTTCCTTCGGGATCCACGTAACAGGGTTTTTTTCCAAAATGTTCGAAATATCTCAAAAATTCTGAGTCAGATGCAGCGCAGCGCAATCGTTTAGAAGAATATACAATGTTCTCTGGGTTAAAAACTTGTTGGCTAGTGTAATGGACCGATATTCATAGAGATCTTTAGTAGTCGTTCCCATTATATTCATTCCAGAAATACTTAATTATATATCCTACACCTCTATAGTGGCTCCCGCCGGGGGCGTGTTACCTTGGTGAAATCTCCATGTTGATTTGACATGGGGTCTAACCAGAGTACCATATAATCTAGCACTACGGGTGGCCAGTTGCCCGCAGGACTTGTCCTGGCTGGTCAATTGGTTGAGGTTCCTTCAGGATCCACGCAGTGGCTGTGGTTCATGCCCAAATTCGCGGGCAGAAAATGTTGGTTCAAGGACTGATATATCCAAATGCCATATATGTCTGGATTCTCTCTCCGGTGCTGTTGCCATCTCAGCAGATGTCACTGGGTGATGTGACAAAGCAACTGTGTGGAATTTTCAGGTTGACACTTGGTAGTTACCTGTCATCCCGTAGATCGTTCTTTATGGTCTGAGAATGGACCATGCCCGACAGGAGACTAGTACTGATTTAGTAGACCTTTTACTTCAGGGAAGTTCTCGGTGCTGTTGCCATCTCAACAGGATTCATATTGTTTCATGCTACGCGACTTATGGTTGAGGCCCACCACTCAACTTGTCGGGGCAATTATTGAGTTCGAATTGACTTTGGAAATTCCTACATCCTTTGTCACATTATCTGACATACAGAGGGATGATGATTTATTGGCTGGGCCTTTCGGACTTATAAATACGTCTCTAGGTGCTGTTGCCGAATCAACAGAGCCATCTCAGTAGTGTGGTTAAGAAATGCACTGGAATGGGTCATTAGTTGATGGGGATTGCATTTTAAATAATGCGATCTTTTATGACATCATAAGGGTGGTCACCTTTCGGTATATCGGAAGATTGATATCACCTGATGTTGGGGTTGTCGCTCCTTCTATTGACTTTAGATCGGTGATTGCTTTTTCCATGTCGGGGTTTGCATTGGGATTGATCCCATGTTGCCTGTCATTCCGCAACGGGGCTACTATGGCAATAGATTAGATAACTCAAGTACTTCAGCAAAGTGCTGTTACATGGACAGGCTCAGCCATGTACAAAATTTGCCACCTGAGGATTCAGGGTCGCGTGGTAGACCGTCTCAAGTCTACCCAGTGGATGGAAAAGACCACCATGAAATAAGCCGTCAAGGCAGGTATTCACGTTAAGCACTAGATCTCTATAGTGGAGTGGTATCATACGTTTGGCCTGATGTTTGTGTGTTACAAATCTTTACGAATTTTGTTGAAGATCAACCTATTTCGGATCATATGCCTGTTGAAAAGGGTCTCCCTTATAAGGCCTTCTTGAAAAATCATTCAATAAATTGCATAAATAAGCCGGTATTACGATAATATTCGACATAAGTAAATTTTTGTAACAAACTGACTTGAGGCCCCATAGTGGGCCTTATATCGATATTTTTTACAATCTCACTTGCTGTTTTACTGAGAACCTACTAAGCTAATGATTTATATAAGAGAAAACTATTGTTAGTTAAATTAAATCTAACGTAATCTAAACTGCTGAATAAAGGAAACCGCAAATATTTGAAAATGTTTACACTACTTTATCATAAATGGTATATTTAATTTAAAACTGTCATTTGCAACATTTTACGAATAAAGTATGGTCACATATATATGCTGCATTCTACTGGTTATGACCGATCAGCAGAAAATTATACTAATAATACTAAAATTTTTAATAGATTTATGCACTTAAAAGTTTTAAGCGGACGATGTTTTAATATGTCATGGGTCTACGTCCGATTCGTAGCCATATGTTACAAATCTTATAATGATATAAGTAAGCTAAAAAATTAAGTAGTTTTCTATTCTAAAACCTCAGCTTATCAGTCTTCTCACTTATGTTTTATCATAAAAATTTACTTATAGTTTAAAATAAATAATTTTGGCAGAAATTTTCTGAAAATATTTGCCATTATAGAAGTAGTAATATATAAATTAGTAGTTTTTAAGCAACATCAGAGAAAACAACAAATTAAAATGATTTCAAGCAACGTGTATAAGTTAATTATATTTTTAATAATTTTAAAAATAAATCATATCTCGGCCAAAGGACAAATCTATACCTCAGATGCAAAAAATGAATATTATATAGATTTTGAAGAAAAGGTATGATTTAATTGAAGAATTTAAGAATTTTTCTATAATTTTATAAAATTTTCTAAATTATTTCAGTTTAATTGGTTTGAAAGTCAGATAGACTGCTTTAAAATGAACATGACCTTACTGGAGGTTGATACGAGTGCCAAATCTCTGGAATTACATAACTTAATCAGAAAAGTTCGCAAAGAAAATAATCTGAAAAATACAACACTTTGGATTGGGGGCTTTAGGTCTCAGTATCCCAGGGAACATTTTATATGGATATCAACGGGCAAACAATTTACTTATACCAACTGGTATGGCAAAAATCCAAATTTTCTCAACAAGGAAGAATTTTGTGTTAAAATCTTAATGGCTCAAGATTTACAGTGGAATGATATATCTTGCATCAATTATTCTGGTTATGTGTGTGAACACAGCAAGCAACAAGAGTTGCGAGCAAAACTGCAGGAACAATTGGAAGAAAGAGAAAAATTGCAACAGGAATTGAATAATTTCAAAAAGACCTTAGAGTTGGAAACCCAAAACTATTTACAAGTGCAGCAACAACTGCAACTAGAAGTGGAGAAGAAGAAGACACAAATTGAACAGGAAATGGGAAAAAATGAAAAGTTTGAGGAAGATTTAAAATTGGAATTAAAAAAGCACAATCATTTAAGGCAAGAATTAAAAAAGCAGGAAGACAATCAACATGAACTGCAACAACAGTTGCAACAATTTGAGGAACAAGAACTAAAAGAACAAGAAGTACTGGAGGAAAATTTACAAACGGAAGTAAAAAAGAAACAGAGCGTTCTAGAAGAACTACAAAAACAACAAGAATTGCAATTACAGCTACAAGAGGAATTGGAAACACTTAAAGAGCAAAAACTAAAAGCCCAGGAGAAATTCAAGGAGAATTTAGAAACCGAAATAAAAAAGAAAGAAGATTTACATCAAACCCTACAACAGCAACAGAAATTACAACATCAAATACAAGAACAATTACAACAAGTGGAGGAACAGCAATTGAAAAGTGAGCAAAAATTGAAAAAGGAAATTCAAAAGAGGCAACAACTAGAAGCCAAACAAGAACTAAATTACGAGGCGATTACCCGTCAGGATATACTAAAACAATTGAACTTGGAAGCCGAACTACAAGAAAAACAAGAACTACAACATCAGCTACAACTACAATTACAACAACTCAAAGAAGACAAATCAAAACTTGAAAATGATTTGAAAATGGATTTGCAAAAGCAGGAAGAACTAAAACAGGAATTACAAAATCAACAAAATTTGGTAGATCAACTACATGAACAAATAAAACAGCTAAAAGAGCAAGAAAAAGAAACCAAGGAACGTCTGGAGAAGAAACTGCAAGTGGAAATCAAAAAACAAGAAAATCTACAGCAAGAACTGGAAAAGCAACAAAACTTACAGGAACATTTGCAACAGCAATTGAAGCAAACTACTGAAAAAGAAACGAATAAACATGAAAACCTTTTCGAAACTTTACAATTACAAAATCAAATCAAGGACAAATTGCTGGCACCCAAAGACAATAAATTGAAAAAATACACAAAACTGGAGAAGAATTCTAAACATCCACTGCTTAAAGGAGATCTTAAGTATTTGTTAAGAGGATTTAAGGAAACCAGAGAATTACAAGAAGATGATATTTCCTATAGCGGTCATTATAATATTATAATCAACAATCCTTATATTAGATATTGGAATAACTTTTAAAGAAATTTTATACTTTTAATAATTACACCGATTGTATCCTTTGGGGTCTAATTAAATAATAATATTAAAAATTTTGAATTTAAAGTTTTTAGTTTTCATATATAAATTAACTTATTATTTTAATTCTTGGTTATATAAATTAGATCTGAATGGGTTAGATTGTTAGAAGGATGAACATTACATTAGCTCCAAAAATATACACCTACTTAGGCCGCTTTAGGTCCTGTTGTTCCCTCTCTTTCCTGCAAATGTTATATAGCGATTTACGAAAGAAATTATCGTCCAATATTCAGAAATCAGGCTTTCGCCGAAATTATATCCAATCTTGGGATCTAGTTCTTCAAGATTTTTATTAAATCCCTCAGAAACCAGGATTATATATATGTAGTTCTATAGGGAAGATATTTCATTGCAGTTTTGAGAATTATATGACCAAAAATGGTCGAGCCATCGCCGCCGATCATTTTGTATCTCGGGTATCCACTAAAAATTGATATCCTACTAATCTCGGACTTATTTATTCTTGGGAAGGATTCTCGTTGTGGTCACTTCATGGTGTTGTCCAACGTTCTATTATTCCAAGTGGCCTTATGGAATTCTCCCGCCCATATTTTTAATCCAGCCCTCATTCGTAACCACCTTTGGTCAATTCACATAACGATAAGAGCCGCTCGGATGTGAGTGCCGCCTCGTATCTTACAGGCCTTTCGATCGGAGTAATGTCCAGCAATGTTTTTGAAGCTCTGGTCAACGTAGTCCTCATGGCACTACGCAACATAAACGTTGAATCTAATTAGGTTTTGTGTCAGTGTTTAATAGGGCCCTATATAACGTTTTCGGTCACTGATATCGTCCTAACCAAAAAAGGGGCAGTAATTTTCGTGTTTCTTCACATGGTTGGGCTAGCTCGACTATACTTTCTTGCAGAATTTTATTAAAAATTTGCAATTTTAAATCAATTTTTGAAAATTGCTTATACATACTAATGTATGTACAGTAAAACCCGTTTATAACGAACTCAGTTATAACGTATTTTCGGTTATAACGAACTACAAATTTATAAAGACCCACATTTTAAAACTATTTTCTTGCAAAAAAAAAACATATCTTATAACTAACTCGGTTTTAACGAAGTTTGACTGTATTTAATAACTAAAGCTAAACCCACTCTTAAACCACAATACGATCCACGTGTAGATAAGGCATTCAATGATTTCCATTTAAGAATAAAAAAATATGCATAAACACAAAATTTTGAATAAATATAAAAAAATTGCAAAAGTAATGTTCATATTTTCGGCAAAAAAAAATTTTGTTTATATTAATAAATTTACACAAAAATTTAAATTATACTTAGTTTATAACGGAGTGTGTAGAGTTTTATTGAAATTTACTTATGTGATAGCAATAAAACGTTGCTAAAACGTTGGACTAAAGTCCAGTCTGGATTATAGTTTAGCCTGGACTATAGCCTAGTCTATAGTCTGAACTATAGTCTAGTCTACAATCTGTTCAATAGTCTAGTCTAATAGTCTGGACTATAGTCTACTATATAGTCTAGTCTATAATCAGGATTGTAGTCTAGTCTATAACCTGGAATATAGTATATAGCCTGGATTATAGTATATAATCTGGACTATAGTGTTGCCTATAGTCTGGACAACCTTCTAGTCTATAGTCTAGACAATAGTCTAGTCTATAGTCTGGATTATAGTATTGTCTATACTTTGGACTATAGTCTGGGCTATAGTCTAGTCTATGGTCTGGACTATAGTCTGAACAATAAACTGGACTATAGTCTGAACTATAGTCTGGACTATGGTCTGAACTATAGTCTGGACTATAGTTTAGCCAATAGTCTGGACTATAGTCTTGCCTATAGTCTTGACTATAGTCTTACCTATATTCTTGGCTATAATCTAGTCTATAGTCTGGGCTATAGTTTGAACAATAGTTTGGAATATAGTCTACCCTATAGTCTGGAGAATAGTCTAGTCTATAATCTGGACCATAGTCTAGTCTGTAACGTGGACTATAGTCTATAACTTGAATTATAGCTTATAGACTGGACTATTGTGTTGCCTATAGTCTAGTCTAAAGTCTCGACAATAGTCTATTCTATAGTCTGGACAATAGTCTAGTCTATAATCTGGTCTATAGTCTGGACTATAGTCTAGTCTTTAGTCTGGTTTATAGTCTAATATATAGTATGGACTATAGTCTAGTCTATAGTGTGGACAATAATGTACTCTATAGTCTGTAGTCTATAGTCTGGACTATAGTCTAGTCTATAGTCTGGACTATAGTCTATAGTTTGGACAATAGCCTAGTCTATAGTCTGGACAATAGTCTAATCTATAGTATAGTCTATAGTCTCGAGTATATTCTACTCTACATAGTGGATTATAGTGTACTCTATAGTCTGGACTATAGTATACTTTATAGTCGACTGTATAGTCTGGACAATAGTCTACTCTATAGTCTAGTGTATAGTCTGGACTATAGTCTTGCCTATAGTCATGGCTATAGTCCTGCCTATAGTCTTGCATATAGTCTTGACTATAGTCTTGCCTATAGTCTTGCATATAGTCTTTACTATAGTCTAGTCTATAGTCTGGACTATAGTCTATTTTATAGTCTGGACTATATAGTTTGAACTACAGTCTGGACTGTAGTCTAGTCTAGAGTCTGAACTATAGTCTAGTCCATAGTCTGGACTATATTCCAGTCTATAGTCTGGACTTTATTCTAGTCTATAGTCTGGACTATAGTCTGCTCTACAGTCTGGACTATAGTCTACTCTACAGTCTGGACTATAGTCTACTCGATAGTCTAGTGTAGTTTGAACTATAATCTGGACTGTAGTCTAGTCTAGAGTCTGGACAATAGTCTAATCTATAGTATACTCTATAATCTGGACTATAGTCCACTCTATAGACTTTACTATAGTCTACTCTGCAGTCTGGAGTACAGTCTACTCTATAATCTAGTGTCTTGGCTATAGTCTTACCTATAGTCTAGTCTATAGTCTGGACTATAGACAGAACGGACTATAGCCAGAATTGTCTATAGACGGGACTCTAGTTGGATGTGTGGCCAAGGTAGAAGTAAAACTTAAATGCTTATCATGTCTTATGCTTTAGAAAAAAGTTATACTAATTATGCTTTTTGCGCCGCACACTGTTATACAGAATCGTAATTTTGGACAAAAATTAATCAGACAATCCCACTATTTTCGCAACACATAAGCTTATCTTTTTGATTTAACCCGGGTCACTTGTATTTATAATTTATTTTTAGTTTAAATAAGAAATTCTTAAAATAATTGAAACAAATTTATTTGTTAATCTAAAGTTTAAGAAGAAACATCTAGTTAAAATGAGCTTAGCAAATTCTTTAAAAGTTTTTATAGTTTTAATAATATTTAAAATAAATTACATTTATGCCAGTGGTCAGATGTATACATCAGATGCAAATAATCAGTATTATATAGAATTTGAGGAAAAGGTAGTTAAGGCAAATTTTTAACACAATATATAAAATGTTTAATATTTTTTTATTTTTTTTCAGTTCAATTGGATGGAAAGTCAAGGTGTGTGTTTAAAAATGAACATGACTTTGGTGGAAATTGATAACAGTGACAAATCTCTAGAACTTAGTGCATTGATTCAACATGTTCGTAAAGAAAACAAATTCAAAAATGTTACACTTTGGATTGGTGGTATTATGAGTCGTTTTCCGGAAAAACATTTTGTTTGGCTGACAACGGGCAAGAAATTTAACTATACCAATTGGTATGGCGGCAATCCCAACTTTGTTGGCAAAAATGAGTTTTGTGCTCAAATCGTGATGAAAGAAAATATGAAATGGAATGATAACAGATGTCTGAATAAGTTTGGCTTTGTGTGTGAACAGAATAAAATCCAGCAATTAGAGGAAAAGCAAAAACAATGGCAACAAGAAATACAAACAATTAAAGAAAGCTTGCAACACGAAACTCAAACTCACGAACAAATGCAACAAAATCTAGAGCAAGAAGTTGAACAAAAAGAAAAACAATTACAAATAGAAATGGAAAAGCGTGAAAAACTTGAAGAACAATTGCAAATAGAATCTAGAAAAAGTGCAGATTTGCAGGAAGTCTTACAAAAGGAACTAGATTTGCAACAACAATTACAAGACAAGTTGCAGCAGCTAAGAGAAAATAAGCTTAAAAGGCAAGAAAAAATTGAACAAAATATTCAAAAAGAATTACAAGCTCAAGAAAATCTTCGACAAGAACTTGAAATACAAAAGGAACTGAATGAACAACTACGCGAACAGCTGCAGGAACTTAAGGATAGTATTTCGAATATGCCAAAAATGTACGAAGAAAATATTAAAAAAGAATTAAAAGAACAGGAACGTTTGAGAAAAGAAATAAAAACTCCCCAGCAGTTGCAACAACTATTTCAGGAACAATTGAAACAGTTAAATCTCTATAAGGATTTAGAAAAGAAGTGATATGGGAGATTTCAAAATTAGGTACTATTTTTTTTAATTTTTAAGTCGTATAAACAATGCCAAACGTATTTTTAAGAAACAAGATTTGTAAATGATTACAAATTAATAAATAGTTAATGTTGTTTAGGATCGAAAATTTATTGTTTCATCACTATCGTAAGCGTTAATAGTTAATAAGTTATGAAACTTGATAAACTGAATACTTTTTGCTCCAAAGCTATGAATATTCGTTGTTCTAACAAAGTTTTAGTCTGCTTGGTCTATTTCGCCAAGATGTTATTCCTAAGTAAAGTTTGGAACGTACATACGTAAGAATGTATCATCTTCCAAGCTAAGTACTAAGCGATCTGAAAATACAAGTTGATAAGGGAATAAGCTAAGCGGTCTGGATAACAAAGGGACAAATATTGAGACACGAACATCGAACACTCACAATTCAGGTATGAGTTAAAAAAGATGTTAGCGAGTAACCCCAGGTCTGATTTGATCTGGGGTCGAATCACAGAACCACGCTTATCTGGTACCAGAGTTTCGGACTTTATCTTATCCTGGTTATAGGAGAGGTCCTTTTAGGATGCACGTGGTTTAAACGCAAAATCGCGGGATGAGAATGTTGATAAAAAGACTGACAAACGGTGAAATCTATATTTCGGGTGTAAGTTCGATGCTTTTGCGGCAAAAACAACAGATACCCCTGAGAGGAGTGACTATAGAAATGGGTTGGTGTCAAATTAATAAGATACGGAATGGACGAAGTGACCGAAATACGAATGTATTAAATAAGTCGGTCTACCGATTGCGTCTCTAGATGCATTAGACATCATTCCATCTGCGTGGTTGAACGGCGGTGATGATTCTGGAACTCGGAAATTAAGCAACGGAACAGCAATGCTCCGAGATTAGATTAGATAGGTACTTGAGCAAAGCGCTAGACTAATCTTCTAAGTCGATTTCTGTTCCAAGTTCGTTCTATCCGAGAATTCGTTATAACAAAGTTTGATAGAAGAGATTTTTTTGTATGAAAATCAAAAATGATGGAGGTATATTGATTTTGTCATTCCGTTTGTAACACATCGAAATATTGATCATAGACCCACAAAAGTACATATATTCTGGGTCCTTATTAAATTCTAAGACGATCGAGCCATGCCTGTATGTCCGTCTGCCTGTCTGTTGAAAGCACGATAGAGTCCAAACGGAAAGAGCTAGAGAAATTTTCCACAAATATTTCTTATAGGTAAAGTTTGTTTGGTATTGAAAATGGGCAATATCGGTCCACATTTTCGCATAGCCCCCATACAAGTGGCCCCCCGAAAAACTGCTTTAATAGTCATAATTGTTTTAAAAATGCAATTCGACATAAGTTTCATATGAACAAAATTCTCTCTACCAAATTTTATGAGGATCGGTCCATAAATGACCCTACCCCTCATATATGGTTCCCTCCAAAAAATGACATAACGCCCATTACGAGCTTAAAAATACGAGTCTAGCGCTAAAATTCGATATAAGTAAGTTTCTCACTATCAAAAATCTATCTACCAAATTTTATGAGGATCGGTCCATAATTTACCCTACGTTTAAGTTCCCCATCAGAAAATTACTTTAACGCTCATTACTGCCTTAATAAGAATATAGCGATAAAATAAATAAGCAAGTTTCTTATGAGTTAGAATCTCTCTACCAAATGTTATGAGGATCGGTCCCCAATTGACTCTACTCCTCATATAAGGTGCCCCTCAGAAAATGACTTTAACGCTCACTACTGCCTTAAAAATACGAGTATAGCGCTGAAATTAGACATAAGTAAGTTTCTTATGAGCAAAAACCTCTCTACTGAAATTTATGAGAATCGGTCCATAATTGACCCTATCCCCCATATATGGCCCCCTTCAGAAAATGACTTTAACGCACATTACTGGCATAAAAATACGAGTATAGCTTTGAAAATCTCTATACAGAAGAAAGTTTCTCTCTACCGAATTTTATAATTGACGCCGATTGACCGCCCATATATGTTCATGGTTTAAAAGTTGGACAAACATATTTTTTTTAGTGAATATTTTGTTAATCCGAAAGAGATGTGTCCATAATTGATGGTGGCTATATAAGATTCGGCATATTCGAATATAACACTCTTACTTGTTGGATATTCGGGTGGAATATAATTTTAATTTCGTAAGTGACCAAGAACTATTTTTGTACTTTTTCGTTCTTCAAAAGGTAGTTTTTGAGTTAATTTGAATATTAAACCTAGAAATATGAAATAAAGCATGTAGAGCCCGGAGTAAATGAGAACCTATAAACGGGGACTTTTTGGTACTTTTTTTAGTTCTTCAAAAGGTAGTTTTTGATCTTCACCAAAGATTGTCAACCGAGCATTAGATGTATCAACCTTAAGGGGTTTTTCCCCAGAAAACAACTATCGGTCACAGTCAAAATGTTACAACAACAATAACATAACTATAATGGCCTGTAAAGTGATCTGTGGTATGGGATAACACAAGTCTCTGGGTGTGGAGATTTACATGAATAAAAGACTGAGGCATGGACATTGCTAAGTCGAATAAGAAAGTGATTGTGTAATGAAGGGAAAAACCATCGGTCATATGTTGTTAATAGCGTTTACCTGGCGAAATAATTGTTCAAGAAATCGCCAAGTTGTCAAACCTATCAGCACAAACCTCTCTATGTTGATATGGTTTAAAATAAAACACACACTAATCTTTTATTAAGTTATGTATGTATTTATATGTATTCATTTAATTCATTTCAATATTTGCATAATTGACAAAAATAATAAGATAACTATTCTTGAAGGTATTTATTGTTTTTTTGTTTTACTTCTATGTGTGCTATTAGTTGTTTTGATTTATTAGTTTAATTACTTCAAATATTCGTAATTTATTTGTTCAGATATTGTTTACTACCATTATAGCACTGAGATAAAAAGAAGGCAAAATGTACAACTTAAGTTAAATAAATCACATGTAGCAAAAAGACGGGTTGTTTTAAAAAATCAAATTTCTTTTGGAAAATTATTGATGTTTGAGGAGATAAGGAAATCAGCGAGTATTAATTAATGAACAAAAAAAAAACATACGTTTTAATTATGTTTTAATTTATTGGAAAAAATTAAAAAAAAAAAAAAAAACAAGAATATTCACTGTGCTCTTTTTTGAGTTTGAAATATGTGGAGTGGATAATCAAACTAAAATTTATTGAATTGAAAATAATTAAAACAGAGTAGAGAGTTTTTTACTGATACTTTATAATAATTTTTTTTAATGAAAACAAAAAAGAATACTTGATAAATTTAACAATGATTTTTTTTTTATACATGGTAGATTTCTAAGTTTAATAATTAAATAAAAAGCACAGCTAAAGAATGTTCTATATTTTGTTAAATGTTATAAATGAGTTTTTGTTAAGAAAAAAATCTCATATTAGATGTTTTGTAGTTTAAGCTGTAGAATGGAGAAGTGCTGTTTACAATTCTTTGTCGAATAAGAATTCACCCAAAGCACCATGGTTGGTCATCATCTTCTTGAGAGTGCTCAATTTACCGGCCAATTCACGTTGTCCATGCAATTGTTCTTCCAAATAGACACCAGTCAAGTAATCGACCAAATGATAGTAGTTGGGTTTCTTTTCACAGGTGGCAATGAGTTTACGAATCGATTTGGTAACTTGGATTTCCAATTTCAAAGCATCTTCCAAAGCTTCTGCACCACTTTCCCATTCATCTTTTTGGACACTCTAAAGAAATAAAAATGATAAAGAAAACAAAAGAATAATGAAGAAATGGTTATATTTTTTTGTAGAAAATTAAACTACTTACGGGAGTTCTAATCAAATCGGTAACACCATCAGTCAATTGACCACGCATGGACAAGTATTCAATCAATTTGGAACCATGTTCACGCTCTTCCTTGGCTGACTTGAAGAACATTTCAGCAAAACCGGGACGATTGACAGTGTCGCGAGAGAAGTGAGCACCCATGGCCAAATATTGATAGGAAGCATCAATTTCCTTTTGGATTTGATTACGCATGGCTGTCAAACAGTCACCACGTAAATCAATCCATTCAGTGGGCAACTCAGGATTACCCAAAGAACCTACAAAAAAAATGTCATATAGTAATGAAAATGTTTTTTTTTTACTGGAAGCCTAAATAAGAAACTAACGACGACATATGATGAAATTGTTTTTTTTTTTTAAGGGATCGTATCATTGATCATCATTGAACAAAGAAATGCCGCTTGTTCTAAGTACAATTTCATCATTTAAGTCTTAAATTTTAAGATCATTTCCTGATCTCTCATTTTCTATTTTTGTTGTTGTTGTGGATAATCAAGGTACTTTTTTTTGTTATTGTTGTTATTTTGTTATAAACAGAGAATAATAATTGCCCTCTTCTATAATTTTTGTTGGTAACGTGTGCAAAACTAGCTGTTCTCCCGTTTTGTTTGTATTTTCTGAGAGTAATTAGCAAGTACAGGGAGTAATTTTGTTATGAGTAGTAAGATCTATGTATGTATTTGTTGTATTATTGTTATCATAAACATGGTGGTTTCGTTTTGTTTTGATTTCATAGAAACGCCATGTGTATTTTGGTATCAATAGAAAAAATCGCCGTGTGCAAATTGAAGGCTTAAAGGTCGTGAGAAACAAATTTTTAATAAAGTGTAAAGCTTAAACAAAGGATAGATAATTAATTTCCATAAACAAATAAAAAATCGTCATATTTGACTCATGTGATTTACCAGAGAATGGCCCAAAACCCCCCTAAAGATGGGTTTTGCTGCAATCAGACTTGAATTAAAGTCGTGTGCAAAATTGTTCTAAGAATGTAAACAAATGTTCTTGAATTTACTCTATGTAAAATGAGTGTCTACTGTTAAGTTAACAGTATACAGACAATGTTAAGTTAAAGAACTGTTTGCCATTATGTTTACAGCAGAAATTGTGTTAATTTTTAATTATGTTAATTTTACATAATAGACAAATTATATGTTAAATAACATTTACATTTAAAAAGAAACATTTGTTGTTTTTGTTTGACATCTTTATATCAAAGACCTTGATTTGAAGATAAACAACTCTCTCTTTCACTAGTAACTATTACGAAATAA